AGATTTCTGGTTTGGAGATGAAGTATTGTGTGTATTGTTGATCAAAAAATAAAAAATAAAATTATTTTAGATTTTATGGTTGGAGACTCACCAGAGAAGACGACCGGAGTGTCGCCGGAGGTGGCAAATATGCTGGAAACCGGTTTAACCTCCGATAGCAAGTCATAAAGATATTATTTGAACAGTTGAACAAGTTCAATGTGAAAATGTGTACAAAAAAACATCAGTGACTAATTGTGTACAAACTGAAAAATATGTTACCCTTTTAAGTCATTATCCCTTATACAAAGTCACAATGACATGTCTTTAACTCCGCAAGGATTCAAGGGCGAAGCCCACATACATCTTAAGGTGTCCATAAACACCTTTAGGAATTCTTTTTTATAGATTATATTGTAAAAAACGTTATGGACACATATGACTTGTGAGCAAGACCAACCCAACAAAAAAATTTTATTCGAATAGCTTTGAAGAAAATTTATACATTAACATATACATGTATTAGTTTATAACCGATCACGGTTACAAAATTAATTAAATTTTTATAATAAAAACTCAAAATTATTAATTAATTATTTTAAATAAATTAATAATTAATAGATTTTTTTAGTTATATAAAATTTAATCATTGATTTAAATAAATATGTGAAATTATATCATTTTATAATTTGTATTAATTTTATTTTATTTTTTATTCTAATGTTGTTAATTTAATGTAATTAGAGTAGAAAATTTAAAATTTGAAATTTGAAATGTAGTTGCAAGTGGCATGCATTAATTAGGAGACATAGTAAGGTGACATATAGGGGTGTTCGTTTGGATGGATCGGTTTGATCCGATCCAATCAAGTGAATCCAAATTGATTTCGATTTTCAAAAAATAGATCCGAATAGTCCAAACTAAATTCAAATCCGATCCGATCCAATTACAATTCGGTTGGATCGGTTTTTATAATTCGGTTTTTCCAAAAACAAAACATTTTAAAACGATATATAATTATAATATTACCCAATTGTACACAAGAATCAAAAACAAATTATTTAATTGTGGTTTGAAATTTATAAACAACTACTAAGAAGATATGTTATAGTTAAATATTTTATACATAGAAAACTTTTGAGAGAAAATGCATATTAATGTTTTTTTATCAGGTGAACGTTTTGAACCTATTTGAAAAAATAAATTACAAAATTAATAAATAAGTATAGATATATATTATAAATAAATAAATAATAAATAATAAATGTTTATTCGGTTTTTTTACTATTCGGTTCTTATTTTATAAACCAAAACCAATCCAAAATAACAATTCAATTTTGTTGAAAACCAAACCAAAAATACGAATATCCGAACCAAATAGTCCAATCCAAATTGTCCAATTAGTCAATTCGATTTTATCCAAATAGTGAACAGCCCTAGTGACGTATGGCAAAAGAAAAATAAAATATGCATTAATTAAGAGGCCTAATAGGATGATATATGTCAAAAGGAGAATACAACTATTTTTTTATTAGAATATGGAGTTTTAGGAGGTGGCTAACAAATAAAAGTTTTTTCCATAGATATCATGATTTATATTTGATTTTTTAAAATTGTAAAATATATTAGAGAAAAAACAGTTCTTTATCTCATTGAAAAATATATCATAACTTGTAGGTTGTTTTCAAAATATGAAAACTCGTTATTTACAACTGTAAGACATTATAAAAATTTTCTAAATTATATTTGATATTCCATATTAAAGTCAATTTTATAGTGTCATAGGGGTTGTTTGTTTTGCTTCTTATTGATTCGGTAAAGAAGTAGGATCTGATTCGGTCAGAATTAATGCGTTTGATACCGTTAATTGAAGACTCTTACTTATTCCTTAAAGTATGATTCGGTCCATTAAGAAAAGAAGGTAACTAAGAAAAGAACATCATTTGCCCTTATTTTCCCTTTTCTATGTGGGTGAGCTCATTGATAAAATCGTGTGCATAATTTTGATTATCATGCAGTGGATATGTTTCACAATTTGTTAATTTCTAGTTCTGATTCAGGTCCGTCCTAGAGGGTGGACGGTAGGGGCGACCGACCATGACCCATCTTTTAAAGGGGTCCAAATTTTATATGGACTTTATTATATATATGTATATATTATTTAGGAATCATGTATAAATTTTTTGTTATCGAATATGTTATATTTGGATGCTAGTACAAGTATTTTTTTTTTCAATTATTGACTTATTATAAAAAAAAAGTTGATGAAATTCGTGTATATTAAGGGACTTTTTATTCTCTTTCGCTCCGGACCAGGGCCGGTCCAACCCGATTTGAGGCCCGGGGCAAAATAAAAGATATGAGGCCCTTAATAATTTTTTTAACAGCAAACAAGTTTAATAAAAAAAAAAAGAAACCAAGTTCGACATAGCATCAAGACTATACTCAGGAAATTGACAACAAAAAAACATGTGACAATGGGATCCAACAAAAAATGCAGAAATAATTAATTCTGAATGAACACTACAAATCACACAATCAATCTTTGGAACGGGGATAGCCAAAGCAAACAACTACCGGGGGCTTACCTTCAACCTTCTCAGATTGAACAAGCACATGCAATACATAATAAAATAGTATATCCATTGATCATATATTGGTTTTCCATAATAATCTTTATTAAAAGAGTATGTGAATTACTCAATTATATAGCATGATGTAATGTTCAACTAACTGTCAAGTGAATCACCATCAATTACATAATTTCAAGAGAATGCTAGCTGAAAGATAAGATTAGGGTTTTTTGCATTAAAGTATATCTCAAAACAAAGGAATTATGTATCCACATCCAATTAACTAACAAAGAAAGCTAGAATATAATCAAAAGAGAACAAAGCATGTAAAACCAATAGTTCCAACGAACTCAGAATATCATCAAACACTTAGTAGGCAGTGAAAGTGTGGTTGTTAATAACATTAACTTTACCACATTTTCTCGATACCTACACTTCGTTTAAGGCTTTTCACAATCAACCGTTCAATTTACTGTCCCTCTCTAAAATTGTGGATGCAAAATCATAAATCATAAATTTCAGAGTTCATCGAGTCCCAAATCGGAATTTCGCAATCAAAACTTAGAACTTGACAATGGAATATGTTTCAAACTCAAGTCTAGATCAGACCTTTGAAATTAGATATTTAAAACCAAAAACCGGAAGATTCAAAATCGGAACTAGTATATATTACAAAGATTCAGAGATACGATACACATCCAGATATTAGAAAGGGGTTTACAAATTACAAGTGTCTATTGCTTACTGTTTATGAAGTCGATTCTGAGAGGTCGCTTTGGGAAACAGAAGAAGTCTTTTGGGAGAATTGAAAGACTTGATTTTCCCGCTTCCATGACGAGACACAAAAAAAACCGCTTCCATCAAAAGACGCGGAAAAAAGGCGTTTCATTTACGAAGAAGTTGCATGTATTTAAGAGAATTAAAAAATGCCGAATATATAGGGACAAGATTCGAACATATAACCCTCCTGCTTGCATCTTGCGTCTCACCCATCTCAACTGCAAGTCTGGTTGGTGGTTTTCTACATATTCTCTTTTATATTATCTAAACATATATATATATATATATATATATATATATATATATTATATATATATATATATATATATATATATATATATATATATATATTAAACGTAATTTTTAGGGGCCCCGAGATTTGGCGAGGCCCGGGGCGGTCGCCCAGCTTGCCCTCCCTCTAGGGCCGGCCCTGCTCCAGACCCATAATATATTTGGAACGACCATGTCCTTATTTTGCATTCTTCATAGTTTTGTTGTAATACATAGCTTCTCAAACTCCTTTCGTTCTAAACGTTTTAGGTTATCATAGTGGCCACCACCATTAATTTCAAGTTCTTTTTTTGTCTTCCATTTATGTTGAGATCAACATTCTTTAGCATTGTTTTGGTTCTTGTGAACCCTTACAAAATTTTCTTTTCATTCAAGTTTATGAATGCTACTAGGTGTTTGATATTTTGTTCTTTTTCATTAAGCACGGGAGAATGAACATCACTTGGAAAAAATATACAAAGTTGAAGCTTTTTTTGTGAATTATAGTGAATATATAACTTATATGGGTAAGTTAACCCACATATCAAACTCCATGATAATCTTTAAAATTATAGATTTACCACCTGGTTCTCCATTGTATTCTATTAGATTACTTTATTTTATGGATTGAAAGAACTAAATTAATTTGTTATTGGTATAGAGTTATGAAACTCCAAATAATTAGATCGAGAACTTAGAGTTATGTAATGCATGTATGATTTGTTATGATTTGCTTGAATTTGATGAGGAATTTGGCTTGGACTGATTTATGTTTAATTTGGATTTTGTGTATCATTTTTTTTTTATAATTATTTAGAAACTTTATTCATATATTTTATCAACTGAAATATTTTATTCAACACAAAACAAAATAGAAAGGTAAAATAGTCATATTCAACATTTAACACACTCACTTAGAGACGTAATCAAACAAATATGATTTCAGTGAGAAACAAACAAATATGATTTCAGTGAGAGACAGATTTAGTCAGAACTTCATACTCAGTAAGTCAGGCCTCTTAGGCACCAACTATCACACAACCCCTTAGATGATATTATAATGACGTGACACAATAACAAATATTTTTAACCATTTTATTTTTTTAGTTCGTTCAAATTGGACACACGGGAGTTTCAATCCCAGATTACCCAACAAAGATTCATATAAAAATCTTCTTTAGTCCCAAACTCACATGATTACTAAGAACCATTTATTAATCAAATATTAAAAATAAAAGGAAATCAGATCTTACTGATAACATCAATGCCATAGATATGATTGGGTATCTACACTTACAAATGAGTCACAAACCGAAACATGTAAAAAAACACTTGTAATTATTTTTTAACAAAGCAAATTATATTCTAGAAATTTTGCTATAAAAGCCATAAGTAAAACTAGAGAAAGGCAAGAAGCTCAGGGTCATTTTGCATAATAGCCATGTCTTGCTTTCCTAGACACACAAGTGCTTCAATACCATTTGGAGCATCCATCAAAATAAAGCTATTCTTCTTTAGATCTCCAGCAAGGGTTGCTTTTACAGGCTTTCCCCACCCAAAATCAATCTCATATGTAGGATACCCACAAAAGCTTGAACAAATATAAAAAACATCAAGTTTTCTTTGCCCTTCTTCTACAACGGGTTGAGAAAAAAGACCAAAGACAGTTTCCATATTTCTTAGGCCTTGGATTTGTATCTTTTGTTTCTTGAGCTTATTGATGAATGACTCGGGTTTCAGTTCACTTTCGTTCTCTGTTAGAATCTCCATTGCCATGACAAAATTTCCTATGCTCTTTTGAGGCAATGACTCGATCATTTTTCCTCTTATGTTTATTAGATGATTAACCCCACTGGGTTTGAAAACCCCTGAATTGTTTTTTGTAGCTGCAGCCACTGCACACTTATAAAGTATCCAATTCAAAACTTCAACACGAGTAGGGTTGGTGATGGGTTGTCCAGATTCTTCGGTCATGGATTTGACTTTGAGTTTAAGGTCGTTTATCTTTGAGTTGGGGAATATGAAACTCCTTGTTACACAATCCTTTGATCTCTCAAGCAAAAGTGACTTAAAGTTTACGTTCATGTATTGAAAAGGTATAAACTGTGGGTCATGATCAATTGAAAATTCATGCTTCTTCTGCTCTTTGGAGCAAAGTCGTGTCATCTTAGCCCAGTCGTTTAAAAAATGAACCAAACTGCTTCCATCTACTACCTTGTGGGACAACGACACTGCAACTGCTACTCCTCCACATTCAAAACGATTAAGCTGAACTGCAAGTGGGATCACTTGATCATGATCTCCGTCTCCACGGTTGGAGTTGTAGTTTACTAGACCATGTGGAAATAATTGGTCGAGATCTTCATGGTGCGAGGTTTGAAGGAAATCTGAGAGTGTGGTATCAGTCGATGCTTCAAGGAACTCAGCTCCATTGTCGTTGCAATCTATACAGGCTGGTGCGACTTTAGCATGCCTACCAGCGAAAGGGTAGTACTTGGTTAATGTTTGAGATAATGAATGCTTCAGATCAAGTGTTTTATCATGGGATCTACTTCTACCATGGATTCTGGTGTTTGGGTAGAATGTAACCATCGGCACAAATGTATCGGGAACGAGTTGATCAATCAACGAAAGGTTGTAAGTTTTGAGGTGCGAAGGGGTCGGAGAAGAGGGTTTGATGATTTCTCTGGATACGATTGTGTGAAACTGCCTTCTACCAAATCTTATGAGGCTGCGTATCATCGTCATTTTAACAAAGAGAAAAATTCAAGAAAGGGGTTTGATGATATTAACCATGTAGTTTTTCATAGCATATATAGCCATGGTTTCTTTAATTACATGTATAATTCAATTAATGCATTCCGGCTGTTTGGAATCTAATCCATAAATTATAGGCAAGTATCATAATAATATATGGACTAAAGACATATTTATAAAACTCAACGTGCAAGCTGACACATGAAACGACGAAAAGTCGTCGTTGGATATTAATGAATAAATCTGTCAAAACTCAATATCATATTTCAATTGGAAATCATATAATTTATTTTTTCTACTTTTGAAAAATAATCCGAAATTTCTTCATTCCTGAGCATTGTTTAAATTCCAGAGTTTTTATTTATTTATTTATTTATTTTTGTCAAAGAAGATCCTTTTATTTTTTTTGGGATTCCGAATGCTACATTTTGAAATGTTTTGGTTGCGTTTAGTTACGGAAAAACAGTTTTCATTTTCCATTTTTCGTTTTCCATTTTCAGTTTTCGTTTTCCGTTTTCAGTTTTTATTGGAAAATTTAGAAAACGCGTTTAGTTAAAACTTATTCATTTTTCATTTTCAGTTTTAGAAAATTAGAAAATGTGTTTAGATGTGTATATTTCTATCGGTTTTCATTTTTAGAAAACGGTAGCGGTGGTAGGGTGGGGGTGGGGGCAACGGCGGGGGGCAGTGGTGGTGTCGATGATGGTGACGGTGGTGGTGGTGGTGGCGGCGGTGGTGATGACAGGCAGTGGTGGTGGCGGCAATGGTGACGGTGGTGATGGGGTAGTGGTGGTGGTGGTAGTGATGGTGATGGTAGGTCGGTGATTATGGTAGTGGTGTTGGGTGTGTGTGGGTGTGTGTGTGTGTGTTTATGGGGGTGTGTGTGGGTGTGAGTGTGTGTTTGTCTGTGTGTGTGTTTATGGGGGTGGGTGTGGGTGTACGTGTGTGTGTGGATGTGTGTGTGTTTATGGGGGTGGGTGTGGGTGTTTGTTTGTGTGTGTGTGTGTGTGTTTGTGGGGGTGTAGGTGTGAGTGGGGGTTGGGGTGGGTGTGTGTGTGGGTGGGGGTTGGGTGTGTGTGTGTGTGTTTGTGGGGGTAGGGGTGGGTGGGTGTGTGTTTGTGGTTATGTGTGTATGGGGGTTGGGGTAGGTGTGTGTTTGTGGGTATGTGTCTGTGTGTGTGTGTGTTTGTGGGGGTGAGCTTAGAAGTGGGTGGGTGTGGGTAGGTAGGGGTGTGGTAGGTTGGGGGTGTTAAGGTGGGGGTAGGTAGAGGTGGGAGTGAGTGTGTTTATATTTTAGAAAAATTTTGGAATTAGAAAAAGGTGGAAAACAATAATTATTGGTTTTCCAAAAAATTTCAACTTCTTTGTAATTTTAGAAAACGGAAAATTTTCATTTTCCGTGAAAAATTTAGAAAAATAGACGAACTAAACGCGTTTTCAAAATTCTCATTTTTCTTAGAAAAATTTTCCGGAAAACGGCCAATTTTTCCGCAAATAAACGCACCCTTAATGTCAGTGTTTTTCAATAAAATGTTTAATTTTATGTACTAATATCGTATATAGTTCACATTACTATGTTTGTTTAAATTTTTGTTAAATTTAAGTAAAAATGAATTTTTTTCTCGAAATTCCGGAATCGTACTTTGGATTTCGGACTTGTTTTGAAATTCAAGAGTTTTTTTTTTTCAAAATCCGGAATTTTAGTCTGGAATACTATTCCAGAATCAGTCAAAAATTATATTTTTTCTTGGTCCGAAATATTCATTTCCGAGAAAGTTTTTTTTTAGTTATTTTTTTTCAAATAAATATTAAAAAGTGATTAAATTACTTAATTTCCCTACTTTATATGTATTAAGATAATTTAAACAGATTAATTATTTTTGAATATGTTGCGATCAGTGAAATCGTCTTGTCTGTTTCTACTTTTAAAACAAAATTTCTTTTTTGTGTAGAAAAGCACTAAACATTTTATAAGGCTAAGAGGTGCGGTATAATTTTTGCCAATGGCAAAAAGGTGTCACATAAGCGTCACTTAAGCTTTTGCAGTTTTTACATTTTTTAACTGCGAGGTAGGGTGTGGTGATGTTTTTACCTACCAAATTTTCCTTCTTTTTTTAATTTAAAAATCTAAATAATTACATAAACATAAAAATAAATGCTAATCAAAATAACGTAACATTTCATAAATTGAAAACGTTACATTTGATTTAAGAATCATAAAACGAAAATTAAATTAACTAACTTAATAAAATATTTCAGTTCGAATATTCACCGATATCATTGTCAATTGGCTCATTTAAATCAATTTCATTAACCTGATGTATGTGTTCCGCCAAATCATAGCGAAGCTCGTGGTGTTTTTGATTGTCACGTATCGTCTTTCTTCTTGCACGCCATGGAATGGAACTAGGCGGTATTGGCGCACTAGAGGATGCACTTGAAGATGCATTGTCATTTGGTTGAAACTGAAAAATTATTTTGTGTTCGTCTTCCAAAATCATATTATGTAAAATGATACACGCATACATAATATAAGCGAGCTTTTCCACACTTCAAGGACGAGCCGAATGTTCTAGTATGCACCAACGCTTCTTGAGGACTTTAAATGCTCGTTCGACATGTTAGCGTTTTCACAAACACATCAAATTCATGGTATATACCATCAACAAGATAATACCTATAATTGTACGCCGTTCCATTCACTTGAAATGGACAGTTAGATGCGGACCCATCACAAAACCCATTGAATATGGGCGACATGTCTAAAACATTAATATCGTTGTTTGAGCTGGGAGCACCAAAAAAGCATGCAAAATCCAAAGATTCTGTGACGCAACAACTTCAAGTATGATTGTGAGGTGACCCTTATCACCCCGTGTAGATTGCCCCTGCCATGCATTAGGACAACTACCCTAAGCCCAATGAAGACAATCCAAACTTCCAAGCATACCAGGAAAGCCATGAACACTAGCATGATGAACATATAATGATTGAACGTCAGTAAAAGTGGGTTTACGCAAATACCTTGGACCGTAAATAGTGACAACGCATCTGCAAAACTCATCCAAATTGTCCCTAGCTACTCGCTTAGACATTTGAAAATATTCGTCTCATGAATCAGAAACAGAACCGTAAGCTAATTGACGAACCACAATTGCGCATTTTTGTATTTCTGAAAACTCATCTGCACCTCTTGCATCTCGACGTTGTCTAATATATTCAGAAATGTTAGTAACGTCACCGACTATACGAAGAAATAAGTGTTTCGTCATTCGAATTCGACGTCGAAACTGGTGTTCCCCGTAAACAGAATTTTCATTGAAGTAGTGTGCCATTAGACGGTTGTTTGCATCCCAAAGATCTCTGAGAAGTATCTTTCGCGTCCTAGGTTGGATTTCCTCTTCTTCTTCTTGTACCGTATCCATAATCACTTCCTATGACTTCACAACTGTCTGACCAACGGTTAGCAACAACTTACAATTTTCTAATAGATTTGCCATTTTTATGAGAGGATTTTTTAGAAAAGGTATGTAAATGTATAAAAGAAATAATATAGGTTTGAGTGAATAGGTTTTTGTTTATGTTTGTATATATAGTGGTAAGGAAAATTGAAAAAAAATATGGCAGCAACGGTCACAAAAAGCATCCAACGTTCCAATTTTCAAACTTTTACCACCGGTGGAACCTTACCACCGGTAAAAATATGGGAGAAGGGCGGTGTTCATTGTCGGTAAAGCGGTCCACGTCTGACTACCGACGATGAAAACCGCATGACACCCCATAGCCTAACACGGTGAACCATTTGAACCTTATCCACTAATTATGGTGACTAAACTTGGAAAAACCAAATTATTACTATTACATGTGACCTATGCTTTTTTTCTTTATCAACTTTTGTTTTTAATGTGCAAAAAAAATCAAGACCGAATTGACCATTATGTCTAACTATGACATCCATATTGCCATAATAAGCTCTTAATTATCTCTTTCTATATGTAGAAATATTTTTCAAACACCTCTTTGTTCTCGTCCTTAGACTACTCGGTATGATTCCCAGGACATCGCGTCCATATCACCATCTTCTTTCCATCACTTCCAGTGGGGATGCTGTTCTTCGGTTACCACGACATTGTGAGGCCAAGAAAGAAGAAAAGAACAAAGAAAACAAAGAGAGAACGGGGGTTGTCTTGCATCAAGCCATCAACGCAAATCCAGGAGACGTTAGGCTGAGGTAGTGTTTCTGGCTCCTCCACATTGTTGAAGATGGCCAGGTCAGCCTCCCGTTGCTGTTACCTGGCCCATACCCAACAACCTTACAAAACTGGAACATCTTATTATACCTATTGTTTTTATATATCTTTTAACGAATGTGTTTCACTAACCTCTACGTTCCAACCAACATATAACCACTGCCCTCCGATGTATACAACAAGGATAGGGAACCATGGTAAAAGACAAGGCACCGCCTAGGATTATTCTCGTTCCCACTTCAAACCTATATTAAGGTATGTAGACTATAAAAGCCAAGGTGGTGTAACCCTTCGTCTTCCCTGATGAGAAAATCTATACGAAAACTCAAAACGAACCCTTCATAAAGAAACATGTCTCGATAGCATCCCACTTCCTTTTATATATATATTCAAACAACGTGGTTTCACTCCTTTCCCTATTAAGATACTGTATTTTAAAAAATTTACCCAATCATTATAAAATTAGTATTTTCACCTTTTTTATTAAGATATTGTATTTTGACAAATCCATCCGGCTATAACATTGTAGTTTCATGTTTTCCTTACGATAACACTATATTTTCATTTTTGCTAGTTAGAATATCGTGCTATAATAAATCCACCCAATTATGACACTCTATGTTCATTTTTTTTAAATACGCAAATTACCTTACGTAGGTTAAACTTACAATGGCCCTCAAAACCTACCTAGTTTTTGTTTATACGAGAGTAACTAGTGTTTGCATTACCTTGTCACATTGA